TCTTTGAGGATGCCTTCGAAAATTTCTGAAAACCTCAACTGGCCTCTGATAGTTCAGCCGAACTTTTGAGGCGGCAGACTTTACTAACCCCAACCCGGCATCTGAGGGGTCACAACTCACGTGTCCCTTTGAGGGCCGCAACACATGTTTCTTATGTCCCTACCTACGTAGGGTCCTTAGGGATTCGACACAGACCCAGACGGTTCACACTGTTATTCGAGGGCTCCAGGCTCACCCTGGGCCAAGTCTCTTAGCGCCCGCCGCCCACACTGGCTTCTGAAAGCTCGTGTGCCCTAAAGGGCTTTCCGGGCCCACCTTAGGCTCGGAAAGCCCTAAAGCACCATATACACGTAAATATTTGGGGTGACCCACGCCGATCTCCGGGATCCTAAGCAGGCTTCTGAGAGTCCACACTGACCCTGAGTGGCCTGCAATGGCCTGGAAGTCGCAAGCCTATCTCTAAGGAATCCCTTGCCGCTATGCCGTGCGTAACTTTTGGTTCCGTTAAATATTTTTGGTCGCGTTTGCAGCGCTTCCCTTCACTCGAAAAACCAGAAACTTCTTGTTCACACTCGAGTGAACAAAACACTTCTTTTCACTGCAGCAAGGATGAATGATGTACTTCCGATTCACACTTCCGACATTCACTCTCAGTCTCCGCCGCCCGAATGCCCAGTTCTTAGCTACAATCGGCGACTGGGATAAGTCCTATGCATTTCACGTAAAACCTCGGCATGGATGCATGAATGGAGGTTTTAGCGAGGTGATCCGATTCAAATGGAGCGTTTTTCACCCTTTTCTGGGTAATGATCATGAGCGACGAGAGTCTGCGCAGGGGCCAGGGGACCACAGGGGCCCTCCAGGGCATATTTTAAGGATTTTTCACTGCGTCCCAAAGGTGGCATAGGGCACACGCTTTGATCGGAAAGGGCACATTGCAAGCGAAATAGTATATAATGCAAGTGAGATAATGTACAGATACATTGTGTACTGTGCTGTTGGAGGGGCACTGCAAGCGGGATATTGGGAGCGGGCTGTGATTGCTTTTGGCCAGTCTCGAAATTCGCCCAGTCGTAGTGCGTTCTTCATCCGCATTCAAAGGGTGAACCGGCGATTTAATGACATTTACATTGTTGTTAGTCACTCGTTTTCCTGAACGGCGTTGGGCGTGTTTGACCTCCCTTGACGCACCAAATTGTACCTATGTTTAGAGAATAAAAATGAATATGCACATGATTAAAATGTGATACAAACGTCTCTTCATGCGTTTTTCACCCTTATCAATCGATTCAAAATAGAGGTTGACGTGTGAAACATTGCCAATTTGCATTGAAGATACTATGTGTTAAGTGTTTGAAATAATTAGATGACGTAAGGTCAAACAGTACCCACCTAAGTTGTGACAAGAAATCATCGGATTTTAAAGCTACATAACAAATCCATCATAGATTAATGCTTTGGATGAACGGATGCTTTGGATGCTTCGGATTTCGCTTCCTTACTGCCTATCATGTAATATAACCCAAACTTTTCCCAATGGAAGTTCCTTTGTTTAATTATTGTGCCCAGAAATGTGTCGATTTTGTGCCATTTCCGGGCGCTTTGGGGGGGGGGGGGAGCATGGCCCCGTGGCCCCCTCTATATCCTCCTATGGCCAGACGGCCATGACGGCCCTGATCTGACCGTATGCCATCAAATGTCAAACTTCGCAATGATGCGATATTTTTTTCGGAAAACGTGCCGGTATCTCAAAAACTATGATAGCTAGGAGGGCGCAATCGATAGGAGAAAAGCAATCGATATATCTTGAACAGCTCTTTCGTCAATATTTCGTCAGAATTGAGTTCAGATCAACGGTTAAGGCTCCATAGCCAAAAACGGGTAAAATTACAATTTTTGTCAATATAGGTTTCATGAAAAGCTTTTGAACTAAAAAAAGGTAGAAAATTTTCGTTTGCACGATCGTTCTTCTCTCATTTTTACCTCGAAATGTCAAGGTCAGAACTTGACCTCACATTAAGGTCATTTCGTGACCAAGATAGATCATGTCGCATATCAGTCGATGCGTTTCGATGAGGTACCTCAAAACACTCATACAATCCACTGTGCATGCAAAAGCCCTGTAGGGCCGGATTTTGGGCCAGGCTCCGGTCCTCCGGGCTCCAACTTGACATCTCTAAACAGGACTTTAGGGAAGGGCAGGACACAGAGTCTGAGCCCTAAGGACAGGGCGGGCACAGGCCATGAAGCTAAGATAAGACGGATACTTGAGGGCTGGGTAGGATGCAGGGTCCGAGGGCAAGGCAAGGCGCGGGTCTGAGGCTATCATTACACAAGGCCGGAGAGAAGTGCAAGACACAGGGCCTTAGAACACCTGATGATCAACACACCTGATGGCAGGGCAACACGCAGGATCTTAGAGCAGGGCAAGAAATAGTACCTAAAGGAAGAGCAAGACATAAGACACAGGTATGGCACAAGGCCCGAAACACCGCCCACGTCTTGTCATACCTTCGGGCCCCGAAGGTATGACAAGACGTGGGGGGTGTTTCACGGACGCTGCTATCAAATTCCGCGAGCTGACGTCATACTTGTGGTAGTGTTTGAGCAATGGGCCTGTTGATGTCTCCATGGAAACCCAATTTGACACGTGTAATAGCAGCGTGCTGCTATCACCGGTGAAACAGGGCCAGGGTATGGGGCCTGAGGGCAGGGCAAGGCTCAGCCGCTCAGGGCATGAAGGCAGAACAAAGCACGGGTTCTGAGGACAGGTAAGGGCACGGGGCATGAGGACGGGAAACGGCACGGGTCACGGGACCTGAGGGCGGGAGACACCACAGGGCCTGATGACAGGGCAGGGCACAGCGCCTGAGAGCGGGCATGGGACACGAGACCTTAGGGCAATGCAGAATACAGGGCTTGAGGGCAGAGTAGGACACAGGGTCTGATGGCATGGGACGGCACAAGGCCTGACGACAGGGCAGAGCACAGCAACTTAGGGCGAGGCAGGGCACGGGCCTGAGGGCGATACAACGCATAAGGCTTAATGGCAGAATAGGGCACAGGGTCTAAGGGCAGGGCAATGCACATGAGGCCTGGAAGCAGAACATGACAGGACAGGGCCTGAGGCAGGGAAAGGCATTAGGCTCGAGGATGGGCGCGGGGCCGGGGCATGAGGACATGGGAAGGCACAAGGCCTGATGGCAGGGCAGAGCACAGTACCTGAAGACAAGGCAGCGGCACGGGGTCTGATGGCAGGACGTGTCACAAGGCTTGAGGGCAGAGAAGGGCATGGGTCCCAAACTAGGGTAGGGTAGGGCACGGGGCCAAAAGACGGGAAGGCAGCGCATCAAATTTCCAGGCAGAATATGTAAAGTATCATGTTTGAGGGCAGGGCAGAGCGGGGCACAGGGCCTGAATGCAGAGCAGGGCACAGGGCCTGAAGAAAGGGCAGGGCAAGGTACAAGACCTAAGGACAGGGCACTGGGCAGGGCACATATCCTAGGGGTAGGTATAGTAGGGAAGAACATAATAAGGTGTATGACCAAGGGTAGGGCAGGGCACAAGGACTGGAGAGGGCATGTATGTGCTTAGGTACATAGTAAATCAGGGCACAAAGCAATCGGAAAGCCAACATCTTTTACACAGTAAAAGACCGAGACATGTTACTTATTTTTGCTCGCACTTTTCGGCTGAAACCGTAGCATTTCAGTGTGGGACGCAGTGGTCCAAATTTCGCGAGGGCTACGTCCCAAAGGCAGGGGGCTGCGTCCCAAAATGGGACGCAGTCAGTATGTTAAAATATGCCCTGGGGCCCTCTGCAGTGCGTCGGCAATCGCAGCCACTGTAATTCTAACGGTCATTTATGTCCAGAAATTTCAAAATTTTGATTTTTTTTTTTTTGTAAAAAAAATTCATGCTATAGCTAGAATAAAAACTTTGTCACCATCGGATTCCTCGCACCATTGCGCGTCGAATGATATGTAAAACGAGTGAGTAACGGCTGGGGAAGGCAAGATTTAACACAAAACTTGATTTTGCCCCCCCAACCGGAAATGTCTGGCGACGCCTATGTAGGTACTGACCGCTGACCAACTGACGAACGCACGGAAGCGATGACAAATGGTGTGAATAGTAGCAGAATTAAAAATCTAAACAATTTTAGTGCTTCTATACATCTAAGAGATCCCGCTTTTAATTCATCTGGGAAGCAGTGAATTATGACGAGACGCATTGCCGCCCATCCGTCCACTGCCTACGTCAGACAACTTTTTTTCACCCAGCTCGGTCACCGATTTAGATCGCTTCGTTATGCCTCTGGTCACTGCACCCTGTCTGTTTATCTTTTCGGGAGAACTCGCGAGCAGACGGGCCCGTCTGGAGGCGGGGCTCACGCACAAGGCCGGCTGACGTCAGCTTACGCATATGCACCATCTAGTGGTGTGCGGACGTCCGGACGAATGGGTGGGTGTCTCAACGTGTTCACTGCACCTGTGGATGGTGGCTCAGCCAAAGGCACGTGAGTTCAAAGCGGTGCGGCAATGAGATGCCCGTCTCAGAGACTGAGATGAGGTCGGTAGAGATCATGTGTAGCAGGAGACAAGCATGCGTTTACGTCTGTTTTCGTTTATGGATATCTGAGAGGAGTCTTAAATACCGCAGAAGGCGGGCGGGATAGATGCCGCCGCATTGTCGGACGCTGTTGACCTGGGACAGGGAGTGTAGGACAATGGGGCTTCTCCCCTCTGTTTATTACGGTTTCCTTATATCCGCCCCGGCCTCGCCAGTACCTCACGCATTCGATCCCGGCTGTAAGCTGTCAGGGACTGTCTGCCGAAGGGGTTCGGAATGTTTTTATTGTCTAGAAAGTGCACCCGTCCTCGGCCATAAACACCGGCAGAACTCGAGAGGCTATCTTGGGCGGTCAGTTCCTCTCTGGCCACTCCTTCCGCTATATCCCAGACTATCCCAGGAACGGGCTCAGTCACCGGCTGCAGGAAACCCCACTGGCAGCCGCGCCGGCCAGGCACGCAGCCGCCGCGTGGAGGCTGGCACCGTCACCGGTCACGTGATCGTACGAGCACGTGACGGGCCGGCACGGGGGCGGGACGGCCCCGTGCTCGGCTCGCCGGCCAGCCGGCCGTGAACGAGAGGCAGCTCTGTTGTCAGTTTGTCAACTGCCGCGGTCACGGTCGGATCCCAAGTGCCGGCGTTTAAGCGGCATTTATATCGTTCTCGTCGTGGACACAAGTGCAGTGAAAGTGCCAAGTAGATTGAAGTTAAAAGCGTATCTTTCTTTGCGCGTGATTCAGAACGCTTCACTTGCCGAGGACGGTGAAGGTTGTGCAAAGGTGGAAACACGGGAAACGGGACCGGACGATTGAACACATTCAGCTGGCATTGTCGCTAACCCTATGAGTAAGTAAATCTGTTATCGATACTCCTTTATCCCTGTGGAAGGTGTATGAGTTTCGCCGTCGCCCTGACATACCCCACACCCCGTCCTTGAACCCGCTACCTCATTACAGCTCTGAGCAGCTCCGTTAGCTGGGGCGCCCGCTGACCTTGTCAGTAAAACGCAGTTCACACTTGCCCGTAAGGTCTGCCGGTGACGGGCCCGACACCGTCAAAACGGCCGAAACCGACGGGGCGACGGCCGTCAGGTCGACGGGCATGTGTGAACCGGCAGCGTTTGACGGCCGGCAACAGCTGACTGCGCCGGCGCCGGACCTGACGGCCGTCGCTTTGGAAAGTTCAGCAATGTTCAACTTTTGACGGTGACGGGCCCGTCGGTTTGAATGTCTGCGTGTTGGAGGAAGAGGAAAAGGAACGTTATCATGCAGCATGAAGCTTAAATGCATTTTTAAGATAATTTATATCATTTTCTATCCATTTGTTGAGATGCAAGTGTTTATTACGGCACGATATCTTGAGATTCGCTCCCTGATTTAAGTCAGCGAACCGATGTGTCTTTCATTAAAATAAAATTGCAGCATTATTTGACATAAAAATGTAAAAGTGTGGTATTTTATTTCTGTCATTCAAAGAATATTTTTAACTTCTCGGCCTCTATCCTCCCCCATCCCCTTCCCCCATCTGCGTCCATCTCGAAAATGGTGCGCCATTTCTGTCACAACGTATGGCAGCCAATGGGAGCTACCAAATCTCAACTTTCGTTTGACGGGCTGCAGGCCGTCAGGTCGACGGTGACGGGCCCGACACCGACAGACTGACGGTCATGTGTGAACTGCGTTTAAGTGCCCGGTCCGGTCCCCTCAGGCGGACCGCTGAGAGGCCTGCCAGGAATACCTGTGCTCTCCTTGGCGTTGCGTAACGTCATGACTCTGCGTGCGTGCTCGGGGCCATACCGCGACCGTTCTGTTGGTTGCGTGTCGGTCCGTCACGGAAGTCTGATCAGCAGTCTTTTTGCTCCCATTATTTGTTCATGAGTATATTTCTGTGCATGTTTGCGGCCGGTTGTCCGTATCGCCGTACCAGCCGAATCTCTGCTCTGGGCATGTTCGGTCTACGGTCGTGAGCGGACAGTGGCGGTGCCTGGCACTCGAAGGCGGTGTGTTTCACACTTCATGGCCTAACGCCGCCTGTAAATGTCAATGGGCTCACCGGCGCTCGTGGCGTCTGGCCAGACAATGTGGACAGCTACTGAGTACCTATCACACGTCGACACCGGCGCCGTAGAGGCTGTCCTCACCCGCCGTTAGAGACCGTTCTGCCTTGCCTCTCTCCACCTCGGTATGCCTCTGCCCGTTTCGCCCGACATCGTTCCGCCTCTTCGTCGCGGCTCGACTAGCCTCGTTTTCGCGTGTTTCACGCGGTTCGCCGCCTCAGACAGCTGCTTTCCACTCTAATGTGGTCCGTCGTCCGTGTTCGTGGCGACGGACAGCTGTTCGCTCAGGGTAGAGCTGACGGGTTTGAGTGGTGTAATCACCGAACAGTGGCTGTCATCCCGTGCTCAGTGCGGCGGACAGCTGTTCGGAGCAGTTCAGGTGTGATCTGAACGAGTGTTCACTAGCAGTCGGTATTCTGCGTGTGGAACGCCGTCTTGACAGCTGTTTCTACTAACAAAAATCCGGTGTTGTAGTATCAGCTAAGTGACACGGCCTTGAGGTCAGCAGTATTGAACATCTGTGGGATTTCCACCCACTCCTCAGTCTCTATCCAGCTGTGAGCCATCCACCCACGTCTGTGAACAGCTGTGAGCAGCCCACACACCCCGCGCTCCAGCCTGTGGACTGTCGAGTCAACCCACACACCACCAGTCTGTGAGCAGCTGTTCGATTTGGGACTGCCGACCGGACCAAACCAATCAGCTGATACAACGATCGGCGTGTGGGTCCGATCGACCGACAGAGTTGAACGGCTGGGGAAGCCCATCGCTGCACGACTGCCTCTCCTGACCTTACCCCTGCCGTCCTATCTGTCCGTGTGACTGGCTGTGTGCTTGGTGGTCTGTCTCACCGTTTTTACGCCATCCAGCGGTCAGTTTCCGTTCCTTCTGTCTTCTTTCTTTCTTCCTTGTTTCAGTTGAGATTTTTTTCGCAGAGTCTCGTTCCTGTCCAAAGGACTGCCTACCAGTCTCCCCGTTGACTTGGATATCTCTGTGCTGCCCAACGAACTCTCTGTTCTTACTTATTCCTTTTTGCGCGATGCGGTGTCAATGACCTACGTCCAGCTAGTTGCCGTCCGAAGGACGAAGATAATAGCAGTCATTACCCGGCGTTTTCTAACCGCTCGGCCAGCCAGCCCGGTGAGCAGTGCGTGCGCCGGCGCCGTGGAGCGGTGAGCGGCGAGAGGCTCTGGCAGGCCTGTGGTCGGTCAGGCTGTGTTTGTGTTGATGGTAGGCGGGCTGGGCGGACGGCAGAAAGTCGGTATGTAAGCCAGTCTAGGCGGTCTGGGTATGATAGGATCTGAGATTATGTCATCTGGGTGTGTCTGCTTTGTCAGTTAAACAGTCAGCTGTTCTATCTGCTGACCAGTGATTACCAACTGCCGTTATATTAATTTCGTGAGTGATTTTAATTTCTGGTCAGGTGAGGCGTTTCTCCTTTCTGCTTTCCCTAAACAGCACTCGGCTGGTCTCTCAAATGTCGATGCTCACCACCGAAATAGCGCCGCATCAATGAGATTGTGCCATACCGACAGCTTCGTAGATTCCTTTGGCAGCGCCACCCTGTCTCGTATCCTCTCGTCATTCCCTGCGTCTCTCGCTAGCTCGTGACTCGCTGACTCGTAGTGCAGCTCGTGACCACACCGTGGGCAGCCAGCGGCGCAGGTCGGGGCTCCCAGAGGCCCGGAGGTGGGTTTTACGCTGCGCCGATAGCCGTTCCGCTATCATTGGCGGCTGACCAGCGAGGTGACCGCAATCCTGAGACTGTTTGTGTTTACTGCCGAGGTGCGGGGCTGACCGGCGGCTGGCACTGAGAGGGAACTACGCTGACCTCTGGCCATTGCTTGTGTCTGTGTCTGGAGCTGGACTGATAGTGGGCCGTGAGCCAGCGTGGAAATATGTTGTCTGTGGGATGCGGGCTGTGTTTGCGAATCAGTGCAGAAATCCGTAACATTTGGGCTGTGACCCGCCCCATCGAACTCGAGTAGCGCAGTGTGATTATGTTGCGGGGTGCTCGGTAAGCCCAGATCATGACCTAGGAGCAGCCCTGGGGTGGTGGTGCTCTGATTTATGCCCCATCACTCCTAAGACACAGTTTGACACAGTTGGAGCATGTTTCAGACTGCCTGATAATTTGTTGGATTTCTATTGGGCAGGAAAACTAATGTGACCCAATGTGACCTGTTATAATATCATTGGGCCTTATATGACCGAATGTGTGACCGCATCAACCCATATAACCCCAAATGGCTCTATGGCACCTTGTGTGGCCAGTATGACCCTCATTGACCTCGTGTGGCCTTTGCGTTTCAGAGCGGCGCGCGCCGGAGCGGCCGGCAACTAGGATGGGACCCCAGTCGACCCGGCGCGACTGGCGGCCCTTTCTCTACGGTGGCATGTCGTCCTGTTTCGCAGAGTTCTGTGAGTATCCCCACACCGCGTGACGTGGAGCGTTTACAGAGTCATCAGTGCATCACGCAATGCCTTTGATCACATGTGTATGTAACTGTTCCGATATGACCGAGACGCTAGTTTGCTTCGCTCAGCGCATTAGTCAACAACTTAAGGTTGAACCGTGCTTCCGAGACCTGACATTCCTCCAACCAATTATACCAACCACTGTTATACAATATTCCAGTCCAGAAGGTTCTTGACATTGTTCTCCACAATGACATCCACTTAGCTCGCGGAGAGCCAACTTCGAAGGCACGCCGCGCACGCTGAACTTCTGAATATCGACCGAACGGGCCCAGGCCTGTCCTTTGCGCAAGCCGCAACATGACTGGACGAGCGTCTGTGCAGTGCGCTGAAAGATATTTTTGCAGACGGCGAACAGAAGCCGGAAAAATTCGCTAATACATCATTGAGCTTTGACACACGTTGAGACAGATATGTCGATGGTAGCCGATCAAATTCAAAGGCTGAATCTGTGGCTGAAGCTGTCTATTTAGTTTGCATGCAGATGGCAGGCTCATTGTCTGCAAAGTTTGCCCCATCAACTTGTCTGTTTCAGACTACTTGGTCCGTCTCAAATATTGATGTTGATAAGAATGAATTCGTAATGATTGCCCACATTGTCCCTAGTTGCGGCATTTCAACTCGAACGAATCATGATTGCATTGGAAGACGCTAAGCCAATCCACTTCGTAAGGGGCATTACCACCACGCCAATCATACGCTCTGTGCACAAGTCCGACGAGAATAAACGCAATTCCTGGTCCTGTATTGATCGTGTGACCTTTTCTGGGCCCGTGTTTTGCCGCCTTCCAGTGCGTATCGAGCTCAGCCAATATGTGTGTTATCCGCCTTCAGTCGCGTCTGTCGGTGCCTGCGTCACAGGGGCGAGGGCTGACCGCCCAGCATTAGCGCTGCACCATCGGGGGATACCTTAGTGCTAATCATTGGCAGTGCGTCGTCGATGTGTCTGCCGATCACCATTGACCACTAAACTCTATAGTGCTATTGATGCTGTGTCTTAGGGGAGCGCATACATGTCAGGTGCCCTTTAGCGGTACTTTCCCGTCCTTGTAACATGACCTCTGGGGTTGACGGTATTATACCCCGACTCATGACGCTGCTTTATTCAAAATGGACCGAGTCCCGGTCGGTGCAAGACACGCTCATGGGACATGATCATTGTGAAGTGACCCTGGCCGGCCGGTGTCCAGGGAATTATTTATGATGGAAGTGTCTGGCTGATATGTCGGTGATATGAACACCTCACCAGGCTAGGCTGTTGCGCTGGGCGGGGCTCTGATGCAGCTCCTTACAGAGCGACATAGGCGTTTTCTCGGCGCAATGATGAGCTTTTCGATAGATAAATAATTACGTAAAGGCGTGCTGTCATTGACTGGCCCTGATGCCAGGAATGTGCGCTGTCATCGACGACATCGATTGGTGTGACGGTGGACTTTGGACGATTGGCAGGGCTCACACTCACGAACCCACTGGCGGATGCAGCGGTCCATTCCGGGCCAGAAGTAGCGGGACTTGATGAGCTGGACGGATGATTTCACACCAGGATGGGCCAGACCGTGGATGCGTTGGAAAACCTGGAAACGGAGGGAGGCGGGGACAAACGGTCTGGGGTTGGTCAGATCAACATCACAGAGAACCGAAAGGCCAGGAGACAGAGGAAACGTTTCAAGGCGCTCCAGGAAGGAGGCGGTCTCCGGGTCGTTCGTCTGGGCCTCGGCGATGGCGTGTAGATCGGCGGCGTCCACGGTGACGGCGTTCACAGGCGTCTCAGCAGTTGAACTAGTCGACTGAGTGTTGGCCGGCAGAGCGCCGGTCCGGTGCGGCTCGCCGGCGGCCCCGGGTGGGGCGGCTGCGGTCCGCGCAGCGGCCGGGCACGGCGCGGCGGCCGGGCGCGGCGCGGCGGCCGGGCGCGGCGCGGCGGCCGGGCACGGCGCGGCGGCGGACGGCCCGGCGTCTGGGTGCGGTACGGCGGCAGGCGGCTCGGTGGCGAGCGACCCGGCGTCCGATGGAGGCACGCTGACCAGTAGCTCGGTGATCGGAGGCGGTGCGGACAGCGCGGTGGCTGCCAGCGACCCGGCGGCCGGGCGCGGCGCGGCGGCGAGCGGCTCGGTGGTGAGCGGCTCGGCGTCAGACGGCGGCGCAGCGACCAGCAGCTCGGGCGTCGGGGTCCGCGCAGGCAGCGCGGCGGCTACCGGCGGCTCCTCGGTGGAGTCTGGGCGACTCAGACAGTCGGCGACGACATTGTCGGCACCGCGCACGTACTGGACAGCGGAGACGTACTCGGTGATGACGCTCCAATGTCGCTGCTGCCGATCCGACTTGGCCGTGTGTGGGCTGAGGAAGGCGGTGGTGAGCGGGCGGTGGTCGGTGAACAGGGTCACCTGGCGTCCCTCCAGCAGGTGCCGAAAGTGGAGCACCGCCAGGTAGGCCGCCAGCAGCTCCCGGTCGTAGGTCGAGTAGCGCCGCTGCTGCTCGCTCAACTTCTTTGAGAAGAAGCCGACCGGAACTGGCTCGCCCTCCACCATCTGGTGTAGTGCGGCGCCGGCAGCCACCTGTGAACAGTCTGTTACCAGGTGGTACTCGTCACAGGCAGGCAGGTGGTGGCGGATGGTGCAGGCGTCCTGCAGAGCGGCCTTGACGGCTGCGAAGGCGGCGAGCTCCGGCTCCGACCACGGCAGGTGCCGGTTCTTCGGGTGGAGCCTGACGAGCTCCGTCAGAGGGTAGACGGTCTCTGCGTAGTGGGGCATCATCCGGCGGTAGAAACCGACCATCCCGAGGAAGCGCCGGAGCCCGGCAGTGTCCTGGGGAGGCGGCAGCTCGGAGATCTCCTTGATCTTGGCGTCTGGAGGCCGGAGTCCTCCAGCGGACACGGTGTGACCCAGGAACGTCAGCTGTTCCTGGAAGAAGCTGCACTTCTCCAGTGAGATCCGCAGGCGGTGCTGGTGGAGAATGTTGAACACTGTATCCAGGTCCCGGCCGTGCTGGTCTCTGTCAGGGGAGAAGATCAGTATGTCGTCCAGGTAGATGAAGACACAGCGGACCTGGCGAAACAGCTGATCCATCACCCGCTGGAACGTGGCGCCACTGTTCCGCAATCCCAGAGGGATATACAGGTACTCGAAGGCGCCGAAAGGAGTGGTGACAGCCGTCTTCTCGATGTCCTCACGAGCCATCGGGATCTGGTGATAGGCCCGGAGGAGGTCGACTTTGGAGAACACAGTCATCCCATGCAGACGCGTGCTCAGGCTGTGCAGGTGTGGAAGAGGGTAGCGGTCCGGCTTCGTCTGAGCGTTCAGCGCACGGTAGTCGCCGGTGGCCCGCCACTCACCCGGCGTCCTCTTGGGAACCATGTGCAGCGGCGAGCACCATGGAGAGGTAGACGGACGGACCACACCAGCCTCCAGCAGAGCATTGAAGGTGGCCTTGGCAGCCTCCAGCTTGTCCGGCGGCAGTCGTCTCGGGCTGGCGAACGTCGGAGGTGAGCTGCCCGTGTCAATGTGATGACTGGCCGGAATCGGGCTGGCGTCCGAGGTTTCTCCCGGCTGGAACGGCTCCAGGAGGGAGGGGTACTGGCGCAGGAGAGCCTGGACTGTGGGCGGCTGATCGGGGCTCTGGTTGATCAGGAAGGCACCTGGAGCTGGACGGTCAGTGGGGACAGCTGGGGAACGAAGGGAAGTCAAACTGTCAAGGAGGGTCTGGGAAGCACAGTCAACAACCAGTTCATGATGGGAAAGGAAATCATGACCCAGGAGGGGCACAGTAACATCAGCAACGACAAACGTCCACTGGAAAGATCGTCGGAGGGCTGGGATGGAAAAAGAAAGGAGAACTTCACCGTAGGTGTGCAGGGGTGCTCCACTGGCAGTGGTGATGACGACTGCAGTGGGCTGTAAGACGGCTCCCTGGACGAGCTCCTTCGGCTCCTTCGGAACATGCTGGCGAAAGCGCACTCTCTCCCGCCGGAGGACCCGCTGCACGCCGTGGCGGAGGCCGCCTTCGTGCCGCGCCTCAAGTCCGTGACCGGATGGAGAGACCGAGGGAGAGCGGTGTGGGACCGCGCCGGCGTGGAGCTACCCGTCGAGGCTCGCCTAGCCACGAGGCCGCCCCCGTGGACAGCGACGGAAAACGTGACGATCCGCCTGGACATCGGCCCGCTCCCGATCGGAGCGACCGCGTCGATGAGGCGAAGCGCTGCGGAGACGTGCCTGGGAGCGCTCCCCCAGTGTGCGACGTGGGCCTGGACCGACGGGTCGGCGACCGGCGGAGTGACGAATGGCGGTGCCGGGGTCCTGATCGAACACCCAGACGGAACGACGGAAGCTCTGCGAGAGGCGGCGGGAAAAATATGCTCTAGCTACCGGGCTGAGATGGTGGCGCTGAAGACGGCAGTGCGACATCTCCTGGAGCACCCACCCCTCGAACAGGATATCATCATATGCTCCGACTCACAGGCGTCACTTGCGACGCTGAGAGGAGGACCAGCGGCCCAGACGTCCCCTCTAGGTGCCGCCATCTGGGAGCACATGGCGGCACTGGTGGCTGGCGGGGACCGTAGGGTCCACCTCCAATGGGTGCCGTCCCACTGTGAGCTGGAGGGAAATGAGCGGGTGGACGCTATCGCCAAGGAAGCCGCCGCCCTCCCACAGCAGGGAGTCCCGGTTGACGTCCGCACAGTGTACCGTGCGGCGTCCCGGATGGCCAGAAAGGAGGCGATCAGCAACTGGCCGGACGGCTGGTATAGGCGGCTGATGGACGGCCACCTACCCGCACCGCTGCCCAGCACTACTCCACGAGAGGTGGCGGTTGATGTGCACCAACTGCGCGCTGGTCACTGGTCGGGATCTGCGCAGTACCTGCATCGGATCGGCAGGAACCCCGGCCGGGACTGCGCGCAGTGCAACTCGCTGACGTGCCGGGCGGCCGGCTGCCGCTGCTGTGGCGAAGAGGAGGCAGACACGCCGGCACACATCCTGCTACGCTGCCCGGCACTGATGCGACTACGCCTACGACATCTAGGCAACATACACCCGAGCGAGGAGGAGGTCCGAGGCAGCGGCGTGGTGGCGGCCCTGGGGGCCGCCGCCAGGTACCTCCAGAGCCGAGAGGCTACGTAGCGATTGCTGCGTGGGGAAAAAACAACAACAACAACAACAGCTCCTTCGGAAGCAGGGAGACCCCAGCACCAGTGTCGATCACCAGCTGCAGAGATCTGGAACCAGCTTGGGCTGCGACTCGGATGAGTGGCAGGCCGCGCGTCGCAGTGGCGAGGACCTGCCCCTCTAGTTTCCCGGGCGCTCGGGAGAGGCACGCCGGGACGATGGCTCCAACTGCAGGTTCGTTGTCTTCTTGGGCCACCGGCACCAGGGCTTGCAGGTGCGGGCCTCGGCTCCAAAGTAGAGGTGGGCCCTGCAGACCTGCTGGCGCTGGTCCGGATGGAACGGCCGCAGACCTGTCGGCAGCGCCGAGTAGTCAGTCTGGTGCTGCTGCTGCTCCCCTCTCCTGTGCGGTGGTCGATGCTGGTCGCGCTGGTGGCTGCTCAGCTGAGCCTGCGGGGCTGCCAGACAGCTGGTCTGGAGCAGAGGCATCAGCTCGTCTGCCAGCTTACCCAGCTGCTGCAGGCTCAGGTCACGCTGGGCAGCGAGGACAGCACCGACGGCAGGAGGCAGGGACTGCAGAAGCTTGTGGCGCACCAGCTCCTCCCCGACTCCCACCTTGCCAGCCAGCTCCTGCAGCTCCCGCACGTAGAGGGAGGGTCGACCAGTCAGCTGGACCTTGGAGATGAGCTGGTCGAACAGCTCCGGCTTGCTCCTTTCATAGAGCTCTGTGACCGCCTGCTGGAGGGCCTGGTAGCTGTGGGAGACGAGGACTGTCCCATCCAGCTTAGACACGGTCATGGGAGGCAGGGAGGCCAACACATGATAAAACTTGGTCGTATCATTGGTGATGCGAGCGATATGGAACTGGGCCTCCATGATCGCGAACCAGCCCTGGACGGCACCCTCCATGAAGGCAGGTGCCTTGATCGACACATGGTGGGCAGGGGCTGGCTGTACCGCGCGTGCGGCATCGTCAGTATCAGAGTCAGGCATGACGAGTCAGAGTGGGCAGGCAAGGTCAAGGTCAACAACAAAATGCACAAAAATGACAACAAAAGCACAGGATATATCAACAGGTTAAACTCATCACTTCAATCACGTCGGGGTCACCAGAATGTGGGTCTCAGGGTAAATAGGTGCGTGTTCGGAGGAGAGGAAATTACCCACAATGAAAGAACGAAATAAACAGTGAAACGATGGTTAGATATGGGTTTAACTGGGAGAAAAACGTGAGAAATAAAACTAGGAACTCGTCGAAATACTCAGCCTCTCTGACACTCTGCGTACGGACACTAAACTTATATTTTAACTGAGAGCACGTGCCAAAAACCATAGAGATCAAAACGAACAGGAACTCAACGGGGGCGTAACTACACAGCCAAAAATTAAAACACTTTTTTACATAATCAAAAACGATTCGAGTATATAGAAACGGCGAAAAGTCAATCTAGAAATTACAACAAATTAAAGCAAGGACAGATATTAAATACGGTTGAAAACTATAAGACAGAAGTGACGATAATAACGAATTTACAATAATATAAAGCAGGAAAACAAACGTTCATGAGAAATAACATAAACACTGCGCGAGGCGGCGATTGGCGGCGCAAAGGGCGGCCGTGCTGGACGGACACGCCGCAGCTAAATAATACGCGCCGCGCCACAACTCCTATCACCGATCTCACGTATCCAACAGCTGACCTACTATCTATCCGCTACCGCCGGAGTGACCGCGCCCGATCAATGCCGAGTGCTGAGCGCTGCTGATAAGCTGAGTGCTGACCGAGACTAGATTGTGCTGACTACGCCGACTGCGGCTACTGACTGCCGTCGGGGACGCATTGTGCCTCCTGTCTGCTGTGTCTCAAATGCCTGATGTCCTCTGCCGTCTGTTGTCTGTTTATTGTATGTGTCTTGCATCAACTGTCTGTTATATCCTGTCTGCTGTCTGGTTTCCTATATGCTATTTTCTGTCCCCTGTGTGTTATTGCGACCTGTTGTTGACTGTTTTTTTGTGTTCTGTATATTGTCTGGTATCCCTGTCTGTCTACTACTATTCTCTGACGGCACCTTATCGTCTGTTTCAGGCACCTTCCCGATCGACACTACAAAGATCCGGTTACAGGTGCAGGGCCAGCGAGTGGCCGGTCTGCGCGAGCTGCGCTACCGCGGCATGAGCCACGCGCTCGTCCGTATTAGCCAGGAGGAGGGACTGCGGGCACTCTACCGAGGGTGAGTGCCGAGTGTCCACTGAGTGTGTCCACAGACAGACACCACTGTCCGAGTGCTGGCTGGTCCGCGCCGGGTGGGACCTGTCATAAATACATAAAGTCGGGTTTATCGTGTGCCAGGCTTGCTGCTGATAGGTATCATATGAAGGGAAAACTTATATTTCGACTCTAGACTAACTTGCAAACTACTGATACTGGTAAAGAGCGGCCTGCAGATCTTAGGGTCACCCAACCAATCTATTGTCAGAAACTATGCTCATTTAGCTTCAGACATTCACCATGTTATGTGTGGTGATTCCCCTAGAAACTAACCGTACGTCGCTTTGGTGGCCTCTTTGTTATTCCGCGGCCGTTTGGTGTTTGTTAGCTATTCTGATGCAGTGGCGCCCCTGAATAACAAAAAACGTTAGGTCCTTGTTTCCGGAGCGCGTTATTCGATTTGCTGCCCAATTGATTTGCGTTAGCCGCTCTATTAGTTCCTTGGCACAAATTGTGTCCAGGCGCTGTTTCCATGGTCGGACTCTGGAGACTGGGGTGTGTTTTTATGTGGAGCCAGAATCGATGAACAATGAACATGGCAGAGGATCTTTCTGTAGATCCTTCTCTACATTAAAAATAAATACAGCACTCGCGATTGACCGCCATGTGGCTGCACTTTTCATCAATGATTGCTCTACATGGTAAATATGTGTTACTTTAGTCTTTTATATTGTCGTCTTAGTCTTTGCCCAGCCTTTTGCTTTCATCGACCTGCTCGTGGATCATTGTCCCGGCGCAATGCGGCATGGTTCGTCCGTCCCGGACCCGCCGTTCGCCCGGCGCTGCTGCAGTCGCCCTCCTCGAGTCACTGGGTGCGGCTGCCCCTCCCGTCCCGTCCCGGCCGCCGGGGCTGTAACGATCGAGCGGCCCAGCCCAGCCCAGCCCGGGTCGGGTCGGGGCGGCGACCTTCCGCTGCAGGGAACTGACCCGGCCGTCTCCCTGGAGATGGCTGTGTTATCATTGTGTCCAAGCGAACAATCTACTACAGTCCACTGACGACTGCAGTGTGTAGCTGGTTCCTATGGCAGGACCGTCCATGCGCCTCGTTGCTCAGACCGATTTGTGGTTGAGACTGGGGGCTGAAGTTCCAACTGAAGGCGACGGGTCCAGTGATGGTCGGTCGACTCCAGCCAGCCGTCACGTCTGATAAACAAACCACGGCCCAGTCATTCAGTCGCATCGCTTACAGTACAGACCACCCAATCGGAACAGTCTTGCTGGTCACTACTCGGAATAATAGAGAGACTCGGGGACCTAAACATTGTCATTCCCTTGCTACCCAACAGTCACACATAACTTGTCTATTCTGCGTTGTGCGCTTTCCTCTGTCTGATCCCGCGTTCCCCCTGACCCGTTTTTTACCCCCTCTGACCGGACGTTCGCCCCTGTCTGACCCGATGATGACCTCTTCTCAGGATCTCTCCAGCGGTACTGCGTCAGTCCACCTACGGTACAATCAAGTTCGGTGTCTACTACACCATGAAGGGCGTCATATGTCCAAACCCTGCCGACGAGACGCTACTCTCCAACGTCTGCTGTGCCATCGTCGCTGGTGAGAACACGCGCGGGCTGGGCGGGTTGCATAAGGTCAAATGGGTCGGGAAGTTCGGTCAAATGGATCAGGGGGGTCATACGGGGTCGTTTGGGGTCACGTGGGTTAAAAAAGGGATCACACGATGTCATAGGGGCTACAAGAGTAATACGGGACGCACGGGGCCACCACATGCTTTTTTAGACACATTTGGTGTCATTGGGATTACGTGACACTCACAGGAACATTAAAGAGAAACATGCAACGCCACATGATACTATGAAGAGGTCACATGTGGAGTGTGGACGCAAAGATTCCGTGGTGCATTTGGTAAATTAGTGGGGCGAGGCTCGCATTAGGTCATACTGGGTCACATAACCGTTCCGTCGGATCGTTTGGGCGGCGCGGGCTTGTCCATCTCCCGTATTACCAGACACTGCACTGGCTCGCTCTGGGTAAAAAAGAGTGACCACATACTGTATTCGCATGTCACGCTGTAGCACGGTTTACGCTGACTCGCTCTGAAGTTTGAGCCATACCTGACTGTTGGGGCTGCAGTCCGCTTGGTGCTCGGTCGTGTATCACCGACCTGGCAGTCGCCTTACCGTCACAGTAAGTCGCCGGTGACCCCATTACATATGACCGTTGGGTCCAGCGATCATATCACTGATTTTGTACCATGAGCCCCACGAGTCACCGGGTCCTCATGGAGTCATTTAATGTACCGACGATGGTTTTAGCTGCACTTAGAGAAATTATCAACCGGGAAATGTTTTAGGATTGTGTACTGGAGCGAGCTCGTTTCTAACTCCACACTGAACACTGTGAGCAGTTACCATTAATGTGGGGTTGTCGACATATCTTTTAATCCCACTGAGTCCTCACTACCCCCAGGTCACTGTGTGTTGCTCTATCATTCTAGGCAACGGGCCGTAATACGGTCTGGGCGGTGCGCACTGCGCATACTCTGGTGTGTGCTGTTTGGTTTAAGTTGCCCTACCTACGGCGCTACTCAATGGACTAGTGGCCACTCAGTGGGCATTTGAATGCATTGAAGTGGTCGGGTGATAGCCCACTTTCTGCAATTTTACTATGACCTTTCCCTTGGTCGCCGGACGCACTCGCGTGATTACATGGCGCGACCGTTGGTTGTTTGTGTCGGCAGGCCCGTTACCGGTCGACCCGTCGCGTGCTACCACAGTAGTGTGGCTCGTGCGTCGGTAATGACTTCCTGCGGTGGTAGGGAGGGTAGGGGAGTAACCCTTTAGACGCAATGTCACGGAATAAGGTCGAGTGTCGCGTCCTCCGGTGTTGGGTCGATAGGGCGGCCTTGTGGGCCCGTCTGCCTCCGGGCAGAAGGTCGCCAGAGCTGCAGTGGGAGGGGTACCGCGCTGGTACGGGGACCCGCAGTTGCCACTGTACAGTCTGTCTTAAAAGTACCGCGCAAAGTGACGGTGGATCCATCAAGCCTGACCGAGGAAGGGCCTGCTATAATTTGAAAGTCACCGAACCAATGGAGCTGGGGAATGGACGAGGATGTCCATTGTTTCGGTGACTCAAATTTGGCAGTCCTTCATCGTTCAGGCTTGATGGATCCACCGTCACTTTGCGCGGTACTTTTAAGACAGACTTTACACGAACCCCAAGTCTAGCCGTCTGTCCTGTCCAGGAGTAACTGATAACATGATATCGACTGCCGGTCCCTGTACAAGAGCAGCTGAGGGTTTCTGTGCGTGCGTTACCAGCGGTGCCGGCGATCCGTGCACTGCACGGCCTTGCTCGGCCGCGTAGAGACGCCCCATTCGAGGGATATGCACATTGGTGGTATTGATTTTGTAAAGGTCGCCTGTACGGCACCGACGGACATTTGCCGGACTTGGTCGGTGGTTATGACAGTTTGAGTGGGACAAGACACGGCAGCACTTCAGGGTCAAGTTCGTGACACTGAATGAAATAGCCTAAGTAAAGAAAACGGAATATTGCAGTCGACATAATGCAGGGAGTTCCCTTATTTGATAAAGTTCCCTTATTAAAATTCTTATTAAAGGCAGTATGATTTCAGTACGGAAAGCAGGCACTGGCGGATCCAGGCTTGCGTTTTGGGGGGGCCAACTCATGCAGGAGCCAAACCTAGGGTACCCCCAAATCCTGTTTTCTCATCGGATTTAGGCCACTTATTTTTCGTCACAGCCCTGACACTATGAATTTTTTAACTAAAAAGAAAAATATATAAATGGTAGCCCACCCGACCCATGCCTTTATGTTACTTTGTAAACACTTACCATTGTTTTTATCGACCAGTTAAAGGGACCCTCCCACCTTAACATTAGATTTGAGCTGAGATAGCCAAAATGGGGTCCCTGGCTCACAATTACCGGCTTCGGCACGCACTCACAACATCGAGAAATGCCTTAAATCGGAAATATTGAATTTCAAAATTGCAGCATTTTGATTCAGAGGGGCTAATGCTTTTGGATACCCCTCTGAATGTGTGACGTCAGCGGAGATCTAATGATTTTTTAATATTTTACTAAAACGTTTGGTAGCATGCGGTGGTATAGGCTGCTTTGCGCGCAACAAACGCCGCACTTTCAAATAAAGTCGCTAGGAACAGCAGCGGATATCCCAAAAAGTAAACAAAAATAAAAGTCAAATCTCTTGAAAACCGGTGAATATTTTTCGATAAAATTTGGTAGATATTCGTTTTCGCCCTTTCTGAACCTAGCGACATCACTTTCATGCCAATTCATTAACTTTTTTGAAGGTGGGAGGGTCTCTTTAAACCGCTTCGAGTCAGTGCTTGGGTCCCTTTGCGGGCCGGGAGGTGGTAAAACAGCCCTGTCTAACTCGGCTCCTGGGCCACGCCCTGATTGAACTATGTTTCATTATCGTTTGGGGGAGGGGGAAAACGGGCCACTTTAGGCCTCTGGGAAGGGGGCATGGCCCTAAATGCCCCCTCCCTGGATCCGCCAGTGTAAGAAGAGACCATTGGAGCTGCAGTTGGGTACCTCAGACATCAGGGTACGCCCTCAGATGTATGTATAGGACTCGCATGGAGACCTCTTATGCTATAGTGTACTGAAAGGACCCAAAGGAGCCTGTCTATATGGGCTCCCGGAGATAGACGTGGGCCCTCAGGAGCCCGCCAGAGCCCCAATGAGGGATAAGTGAGGGATACCAAGTGCCTGCAATTGCATATTGCATAAGCCATAACGCCTTTACAAATCAATATATTATGCATCAGTGGCAGATCCAAGGGGGGCCACATGGGTCATGACCCCCTTGGTGCCCGGGGGCACCACAGGCCTGTCAGGGGCACCACCGGCCTAGTAGGGGCACCACCAGCCCGCCAGGGGCACCACAGGCCTAGCAAGGGCACCACGGGCCTGTGAGGGGCCCCACAGGCTTGTCAGGGGCACCCCAGGTCTGTCAGGGACACCAGAGACCTGCCAGGGGCGCCGCCGGCCTCGCAGGGGCACCATGGGCCTGTCAGGAACACCAGAGGCCTAGCAGGGGTACCACAGGCCTTACAGGGGCACCACCGGCCTTACAGGGGCACCTTGGGCCTGTCAGGGGCACCACAGTCCTGTCAGGGCCCAGGAGCACCAGCGGCCTAGCAGGGGCACCACAGGCCTGCCAGGGGCACCACCGGTCTAGCAGGGGCACCATGGGCCTGTCAGGGGCCCCACCGGCCTCGCAGGGGGCACCACCGGCCTCGCAGGCATCACGGCATCACGCAGGGGCACCTTGGGCCTGTCGGGGGCATCACGGGCCTGTTGGGGGCACTTTAGGCTTGTCAGGGGCACCACAGTCCTGTCAGGTCCCAGGGGCATCAGCAGCCTAGCAGGGGCACCCTAGGCCCGCCAGAGGTACAGCCCACCGCTAAAGTAATGTAGGGTTTTACCAAACTCAACGGTTGGCTTTGACTGGCGATTGTTAAATGCGAAGTGATTGAAAAGAAGATGTCAATAGCTAAAGTTGCAGCTGCAAGGGTGACGATACATATAAGCTACATTCAAAGTTTCATTGTAGTCTGGCTAATCGTTCCTAAGCTTCAGAAGCAGAACATACCCATGACTGAAACCCCACATTACTTCTGCTGTGGACTGTATCACAGGCCTGCCTGCCAGGGTCCAGGGGCACCACAGGCCTAGCAAGGGCACCACGGGCCTGTCAGGGGCACCTCAGGCTCCCGTGCCCCCCCCCCCCCTCCCCCCCAGATCCGCCAGTGATGCCACACCACGCGAAACACCGCCAACTACCAGCTGCCGCGCCATAAACACGTGCCAACAACAGTCTTTTTTTTTTAAGGTCGACTCCGCTCGCGCAACTTTTGACTGACCCTCACTGCTACTATATTGCTTCAATATTATGCTGTGGAAAGCTTTACTTCACCAAGTGGCTAAAAACCTCCATCAAGGTATATTTTCTTAGCAATTTTTCTGGCGTTTTGGGGGGGCCAAACAGGCCACTTTAGGCCTTTGGGGGGGGGGCCATGGCCCCCGTGCCCCCCCCCCCCCTTGGATCCGCCAGTGAAAGCAGGAGCAATGTAGCTCACTAGCATACGCAGCAAATAGCAATTGCGTTGTCTGTTGAGACGTTGTTGCATATACGCCATGGATATAATTATTTTGCCGCTTTGCTCTTTCTTCATCGGTTATTTTCAACTCGATTGGAATTTTAGTTAGCAATCGGTCCCATCCGTTCTGCGCAGTAGTAGCCAGGGTCTCGGTGTTAGCAAACACGGCCTAAAAATAGCTGGCTGCTCTACATACTTTGACCAGACAGTCACCGCTCGCGAAATACCAGAGTTCAGGCGAGACCTAAGCCACTCCTATCCAAGCCCTATGCATGCAACCGCAACGAAACGGTAGACCCCCCCCCCCCTTTACTCCTCAGCGACAGACACTGCTTCTCATAAATACGTGCCCGCCTGTGGATATGCAAAACCTGTCATTTCTAAGACCACCAGAGGGCATCCAGATTCGTTGCCGACCGCCGCCCCATGCTAATGCTCCTCTATCTGGTCACGATACCCGGGTCTTGTGATGCTGGCGCCGCTTTATATTCTGTGCCAGTGCTGACTTGTGTCATGTGACGATGATGTGGGACGTTCTCCCGACAGCGTGTGACGTCACCGCGTCATCGTGACGTCACTGATCGTGCGGCGCGATCAGTGACGTGTGTGATGGTGCGGTGGGGGCGGTGACGTCGCCGGCTGCTCGTCTCCGTGACAGCACGGTAGGCGGACGGTGGTCGGTGCTGCCTCCCCCACCCCCCTTGGTGACGGGTCTCATCCTCCTCCAACCAATAATGACCGCCTCTGAGATGGGTCTCGGTCTCCATACGTCCAGCACTACCGTCCTCATATGTCGTCACCCCATCCTCCGGCGTCTCTTTGTCTTCCTTTCTCTTTCGATTTTCCGGCCCTCTCCTTTCGCTGATCAGTTTCAGCCCTATTCTATAACGTCTCTGCAACAATACCTATTCTCCGGCTTTTGACTGGCCTGGAGATATCCTTCCCTTCCCGCCCCTGACGCGTCTTCAGAAGCAGAGTCCGCTTTACTCAGGACCTTGACCCTGACGTCTTATCATATGACATGGTTTTCATTGCTTCATCTAACGCATCATCATAATTCTCTACATTTCTTTTCCTGCAACATTTTCTCACTCTCCCCTGCCCACCACCTTCGGATTGTTTCTTTGTATCATCCTCTGTCGGCCCCCTGGGTCCATTGGCCACGACGTGTCTCCGAGCAGCTGGTGTGAGACTAGTTAAACGATGGTTTCCGAAGACCTCGATCCATCAACACACCCCTCTCTGTTGGCAGGCGTCGTCTCCAGCTCGATTGCCAACCCCACGGACGTGCTCAAGGTGCGGATGCAGGCGGCCAACGACTCTGTGCGCCAGAAGGGCATGGTGCGCTGCTTCTCCGACATCTACCAGCAGGAGGGCGTGCGCGGCCTCTGGCGGGTGAGTCGACCCGGCGGGGGATCGGGGTGCTGAGTGTGGCTCTAGCAATCCTCTGACATGTGGGAGGGGAGGGAAAGAATGCTGCCAGGACAGGGTTTCTTTAGCAGCATGACTCTAGCGACGGGGCAGTGCTTGGACCTGTATGATGTGATGACTTTCGATCCCCGTGAATTGGACTGCGCTTCCTATTCCGATGTGTCCCCCCTCCCCGGTTTTCTTTCTGAGGGTCAGACTCACGGTGACACTCAGTCCACCTCCTGTCCTTTCCTTTGCTCAGAGGGTTGGGCCCACTGCGGTACTCCCCTTTCTGACCGTCCCCCTCTGTTCTCAGGGTGTCGGACCCACGGCCCAGCGCGCCGCAGTCATTGTCGGCGTCGAGCTGCCGCTGTATGACTTCTTCAAACGCTACTTCATCCAGAACGACATCATGGGCGACTCCACCGGCAACCACTTCGCGTGAGTTGGTTCCCCCGCCGGCCGCGGGGCGGCGCTGCTGTCGTGTGATCGACCGTCCCTGGCCTGGGCTGGGGTTGTGCTGTGGGGTAGAGGCGCGTGCCGGTGCCAAACGAAACTGGAAATTTCGCTGTGCCGAATTTGTCCAATGTCCGTTCTGTTGTTCGACGGGGCAGCGGTCGTCTGTCGTATCCGAAGGTTGGGACTTTTCAATTAAGAACAATCACTATTCTTTAGAATTGTGATTTTCTATTGAAAATCCCAACCTGAGCTACCTCTCTAGGGGGGTGTTTAGCGTTTCGGCCGCGATTTTGGTCATCTTGATACCCTCGAAAACGGCTCGTTAGATTTTCTTGCCATTTTCAGCGTTTGGTCCCGTGTGGGGGAGCTACCGGCTGGCAAAGTTACAAAAAATATAATTGACACGTTTTGGGGTAATCGGCACGTGCATTTTCCCATAGGGTTAACATGGGGGAAAATTGGAAATTCGATTTGCGAAAAATTTCGTCAATTATATTTGCTGATATTTTTAGGGTCGGATCTTGGGCTGGCACCTCAACTTTTGGTGTTAATTATTTAAAAATCATAGGGTACAATTTCGGGTAATCGGGAAGGACAGTTACCCCATGTTGAGCCTACGGCGAATTCGAAAAATAATTTTCAAATCGATTTTAACAAAAATTTCCACGTTAGATTTTGAAAATCTTCCAATATGTTGTGCACCTGGGTGTCGGCTACCACATGGTATTGGTCAGATATGGGGCGATTGAAAAGCACGTGCCACGTGCAAACGTGTTTGATGGGGTAACCTCCGGGAAAATCCGACATTGGCCAACTTGGGGTCCTATGGCTCAGAAACCACTCTACCTAGCGACACCAAATCAGTGCAGCCGGTGAGCAGATGAGTCCAGCTTGTCGCACTAGTGGTCACGTGGCGCACGTGCTATTGCACGTGCCGTGGCACGGGGTCAATTTTGGTGCTTAAAAATACTAGCATTGTGAAATGCAAGGAATGGGGGAAATAGCCGTCAGGCCGTCAGTTTTTATGATAGAGTCGATCTGAAAACGGGTATAGACACAGAATGAGCGGTGCTAGAAAACTGCTATCTCGGATTTTTTGTAAAATGAAAAATTCAAAATTCTGGGGAAATTATATATTCGAAAGGTGAAATTTCCCTAAATTTTCCCGTTTTTGGACTTTAGCCGTCCACTGTTCAGTGACGATGACACCGGCCGGGGTCGTCTTTTACATGCCGATGGCCACTTGTATTGGTCATGACGTGGCGTGAGCCGTTAAGCTGTCAGAGGTCCGGCACGTGCCACGTGGCCACGTGTTTGAGCCAAGTACCTCCCACATATTGGTGTTTTGGCCAACTGGTGGCCGTATAGCGTGGAAACAGAACCAGCCAAGAACACTAAATTGGGTCAGTCGGTGAGGGGACAAGTCCTGTTTACACCACCGGTGGTCACGTGGCACACGTGCAAATCTGGGCACCTCCGTTGCGGAGATATTTTATAGTGAAATATTCAAATAAACAACTTTGTCAGTTTATGTTGGATTGGGTATCCGAAGGTTGGGACTTTTCAATTAAGAACAATCACTATTCTTTAGAATTGTGATTTTCTACACACGTGCAAATCTGGGCACCTCCGTTGCGGAGATATTTTATAGTGAAATATTCAAATAAACAACTTTGTCAGTTTATGTTGGATTGGGTATCCGAAGGTTGGGACTTTTCAATTAGACAATCACTATTCTTTAGAATTGTGATTTTCTATTGAAAATCCCAACCTGAGCTACCTCTCTAGGGGGGTGTTTAGCGTTTCTGCCGCGATTTTGGTCATTTTGTATCCGAAGGTTGGGACTTTTCAATTAAGAACAATCACTATTCTTTAGAATTGTGATTTTCTATTGAAAATCCCAACCTGAGCTACCTCTCTAGGGGGACATTTGCGTTTCTGCCGGAAATTGGGACATTTTGATCCCCGCGAAAACGGCACGGTAGAATTTCTTGCCATTTTCAGCGTTTGGTCCCGTATCGGGGAGCTACCGGCTGGCATCGGTCGCTTGAAATATAATTAACCCGTTTTGGGGTAATCGGCACGTGCATTTTCCCATAGGGTTAACATGGGGGAAAATTGGAAATTTGATTTGCGAAAAATTTCGTCAATTATATTTGCTGATATTTTTAGGGTCGGATCTCGGGCTGGCACCCCAACTGACGGTGGTAATTATTTAAAATATAATTGACAAAATTTCGGGTAATCGTCACAAACAATTACCCCATGTTGAGCCTATGGCAAATTCGAAAAATTATTTTCAAATCGATTTTGCCAAAAATTTCCACGTTAGATTTTGAAAATATTCAAATATGTTGTGCCCCGGGGTGTCGGCTATCACGTGGTATGGGTCAGATATGGGGCGATTGAAAAGCACGTGCCACGTGCAAACGTGTTTGATGGGGTAACCTCCGGGAAAATCCGACATTGGCCAACTGGGGGTCCTATGGCGCGGAAACGACTTCACCTAGCGACACCAAATCAGTGCAGCCGGTGAGCAGATGAGTCCAGCTTGTAGCACTGGTGGTCACGTGGCGCACGTGCTATTGCACGTGCCGTGGCACGAGGTCAATTTTTGTGCTTAAATATACTAGCATTGTGAAATGCAAGGAATGGGGGAAATGGCCGTCAGGCCGTCAGTTTTTATGATAGGGTCGATCTGAAAACGGGTATAGGCACAGAATGAAGGGGGTTAAAAAACTGCTATCTCGGATTTTTTGTAAAATGAAAAATTAAAAATTCTGGGGAAATTATATATTCGAAAGGTGAAATTTCCCTAAATTTTCCCGTTTTTCGAGTTTAGACGTCCACTGTTCAGAGACGGTGACACCGGCCGGGGTCATCTTTTACATGCTGACGGGTACGTCGATGGGTCATCACGTGGCGTGAGCGGTGAAGCTATCAGAGGTCCGGCACGTGCCACGTGGCCACGTGTTTGAGTCGCGTACCTCCCAGATTATCGTGTGTTTGCCGATTTGTGGCCTTATAGCACGTAAACTGCACCAGTCAAGAAGCCTGAAATGGTGCAATCGGTGGGGGGACAAGTCCTGCTTTCACCACTGGTGCTCACGTGGCACACGTGCAAAATTGGGCACCTCCGTTGCGGAGATATTTTATAGTGAAATATTCAAATGTACAAAACTTTGTCAGTTTAAGTCCGATTGGGCTAGAATTTGGTGGGTGGACGAATTTTTAAGCGACATGAACGAATGCGCCATGTTTGTTGCAGTGCGCCACGTTTGTCTCAAAGCGCCATTTTTGCCGCAAATCGCAGAATGTGCCTAACTTTGTCGAACATGGGACGATTAGGATGCGCTTTGATTGAGGGATGGCTGCTTAACCCGCGCCCCACTGGGGTCTGTGTATAACACGCCCTACTGGGGGGGGGGGGCTATTCATAGCCCCCCCCTCCTAACTCCGAAACTACTGGGCCGATCGTCAAAATTCAAACGGCGTCTGATAGCCCCGGAAAAACTGTCGAGCGAAACCTAATTTCATTGACCTCGAGGTCACCGATGACGTCACAGGTCAGGTCAAAGTAAAAATTATTAGCACTTTGGCTTGTTCACATTTTGGGCGCTGGCCGCCGTCTTACAAGTCAGATCAGGCTCATTTTTGGTTTCCACACTGGTGAACAGATGCTCTAGATACCTTGAGGGTATCAAACTTGTACTTTGATTTTCAGGTCAGGGTCAGGTCATCACAGGCCACGAAAATATTATATCATGCGTCGGTCACGTGACACATGTTTTATGGTCCATTTAGGCCATAGATTTCGAATTTGATGTCGTCTGTGTCATTCAAGGTCATTTTGAGTCGAAATTAGCTTAGGTCAGGTCACTTTCAGGTCAAAAAAGGTCAAATTTTGAAGTTGAAATTTTTCAACAAAAAAGGTGTCTATTGGATGCAGTTTGAGCTCAGGAACACGATGGTGCCATTTATATTGGTGTACGATGCCAAATACGTACTGAAAAATTGATTTGAAAAATTAATAATTGTGAATTTTTTGCAATAATGCGTATAACTTGGCCATTTTTGAAGATATTTAGCTAAAACTTGCTACAGTTAGTCATAACCATGCGTTCTGTCACATATATTCCGGTTTTTTCGAAAAGTCAAAAACTTTTTGAAAAAAAATATAAAAATATAAATTTTGAATATCATTTTATAAAATTTTCGAAATTTTCAAAATTTTGAAAATCCGAGATAGCAGTTTGATAGCGCGGTCAATTCTGAGTTCTTTCATGCAAAGAAATTGGATCTAGCTTAAAAACTGAGCTCTTGGGAGCGATTGCCGTGGTTCAATGTTTTGCGTCGAAATCGGACGAACATGACGTCACTCTGACGTCATTTCCGGCCGACCTATAGTAGCTACGAAGTTCAAATTTTGACACAAGGTGTCAAATTGATGCAGCCGAAGGTACTGAAAGTCTGGCGTCGATTCGTAAAGCGGTTTGGAAGTTATTGCAGAAAAACGGGAGGGGGGGCTATAAATAGCCCCCCCCCCCAGTGGGGCGCGGGTTAAACGGCAGATATGAATGCGCCCCATTTGCCGCAGGGCGCCATAGTTGTCTTAATGCGTCAGTGTTAGCGTTTTCCCTATGGCGGGCGTTTTTTTGCGGCGGTTTTTGCGTTTTTTTTCGGTGTTTGCGTTTGACGGCGAGCGGCCGTTTTTTTGCGTTTTTTGCGGTGTTTGCGTTTGGCGGCGGGCGGCCGTTTTTTTGCAGCGGTTGGTGGCGGGCGGGCGTGCGTTGCGGGCGTTTTTTGCGGCGTTGTTTGCGTTTTTGCGGTTTTTGTGTTTGGCGGCGGGCGGGCGGGCGATGCGGGTGTTTTTGCCGTTTGCGTTTGGCGGCGGGCGGCCGTTTTAGCGGCGGTTTGTGGCGGGCGGCCGTTTTTTTGCGGCGTTTTGCGGTTTGCGGCGGGCGGCCGTTTTTTGCGGTGTT